GTTTCTATGCTTTTTTGAGTGTACGCTTAAATCCGATTAGTACGATTTTATTATTTATCCGACCATTTGCCATTTTACACATTAGTGCAGCATAACAAATTGGACACGGCTTCTATTTCGGCCAAATCTCACAAAAAAAACAAAAGGAGTAAAAAAATAATATACTAGTTCACATTAAAGCTATCTAATTTACAAGCAAATCAAAAGGTGGAACTCCATTGGCACGTTTCCGAATGCCATGATTCATCATCATGTGGACATATATGATGGCCGCAAGCCGTGGAGAACGGGCGAATATGATGATGTCCGCCTCGAGACGTCGCAATGAAAGTGAATCACCGAAATATGGTTACAAGTAAGTCACACTAAAGGTAATAATATGTGTATAAAGGGCAGTGCAGTATGCTTACCATATTAACTGTGAACATTTATATTTCCGGCAATGAAGCATACCACAAAGCATCTAAAAAAATAATACTCTAACTGAGAATATAAAATATCCATATTTTTCCTTCAGTTCATTGTTAAATTTATATATTTTCTCTGTCTGAAATATATATATATATGTTTGTTGGAAGTAAATGCGCTTACTAGTTATATATTATTTAAGTTAGGCAACAAAATTTTTGCGGCAAAAAAAAAACGCTAAAAGAAATTAACTGAAGGGCACACCTATGAACAATTATATAAAACGGTATAGTATACCTTAAGACATTTGATATTAAAATTTAAAAATTAAACTACAATACATTACTATTTCAAAAAAATTCTCAATATCATACAATTTTCACACTCTCTTACATTCCATTCCAAAAAAGCGTCGGCCGCTCAATGCCATATCGTTCGACTGCTCGCCACAATGTGCTGCCACTGCACTCATCAGCGAGCTCAACATTACCGTCTGGTGCATATACGTCTTATCCACATACAACAACAACAACAACACCATACTACGAATCACACCATCTCAGCAGTAGCCAGGCCGCTGCCCCTAATTTGCCAAGCGCCAGCACCAGCGCCGCTTCCACAGCCAGTCCG